GCTGCACCCGGTGCAACCATCACAAAACAAGAGACCCGAGAACTAGAAAGGCGAGGCTCACCACCCATTTACCCCTCCGCCTTTCAATTAGCCTCACATGTGATTATCGGCCAGGCTGGCACAATTAACTAACTCACCCTCTCTGACTTAGGCCATGGACTCTCTAACTACTCCCGTGTGGTCGGTGTAAAAGCAGCATTCTTCTCCTAGGGCCACACACAGCCCTCCCTGTTGAAGGTCCGGTCCTCTCCTGTTCTGTAGCACCGCCTCAGATAAGGAGGTTAGGGACTTTTCTAGGTGGGAAATAAAGTCCTCAATCCTGGCTGTGTCTTCATCTACAGCTGCCCTCAGAGTGTTGAGTCCGCTGTGCTGTATTGCTAAGGATGAAATGCCCGTGCCCGCTCCTATTGCACCTAGACTAAAAAGGGTTGCTGAGGTTACTGCTGTAAAGGGTTCCCTTTTTCTCTCCCTAACCCGGTACTTCCCATCCATGCATTATACATAACATTTTCTTGGTGGTAGATAACTTTTGGAAACACTAACACCATAATGCAGGATTCTACTGCTTCATTAAAAACTGTCAGGCTGACGCAGGGAGTTAGGCCCGTTACAGAGCTTACCCACCACCCGCTGAGTGCCGGGATTATCCATTTCCCTTTATTGCTCTGGCTTACGGAGGGATGAACCTTAGCGCAGAGCTGGGTATGGCTTGGAGGCACTTTCCCGATGCAGGTGCCGTTCCCGGTGACCACCTGAGACTAAGTCCTTGCCCTTTTCGGTCCCACGCGCAGACCCTAGGGGCCTCCTCACCCAAACAGTTGTAGGGGGCAGCTATTATTTTTCCTTTAGGGGTTTGGAATATGAAAGTCACCACAAGCATTTTTACTTCGAGCGCTCCCATCATAGGCTTGGTGTTGGTCCAGCTGTCACGCGAGTCAGCCTGGTTTTCAGCGGGTTTCCTGGATCCGACGAGACTTTCCACTGGCCCCTCTGCTGTTCCTGCTCGCCTCTGCTAGCAGATCGCACGTGGGAGTGATGAATCCAGGTTGCTACTTCGCCAACCTTAGGGCAGTGGGAGTGACAAGAATAATCTGAAAAGGCCCCTTCCATCTGGGTTCCAGGGTTTTCCTATTATGCCGCTTTACCCATACCCATTCTCCAGGCTGGTAAGGATGCCTGTTAACATTTTCTTCCCCCTGCTGGACAGCCGGGTAAAAGGCCTGGAGGGCAGGCCATACCTGGCCCTGAACCTGCTGCAGAGCTTGCACAGCCTGCAGCACTTCTCTGGGACCTGCAGGCAAGGGCTAGGAATCTATTTTTGGTATTACAGGTGGGGGGGAACCATACATTATTTTAAAAGGGGTTAGGCCTAAATGGTAGGGGGTGTTCCAAGCGCAGAACAGGATGAAGGGAAGGAGGGTCACCCAGTCCCCAACAGTCTCCAGGACCAATTTAGTTAAGGTATCCTTTAGGGTTCTGTTCATTCTTTCTACTTGCCCCGAGCTCTGAGGGTTGTATGCGCAATGCAATTTCCAATCCGCCCCCAGAGCTCGGGCTAATTCCTGACTAATTTAACTTGTGAAGCCCGGTCCATTATCGGACCCTATGCTCTCTGGCAGCCCATACCTGGGAAACTATTTCCTCCAGTATTTTCTTTGCCACTACTGAAACTGTTTCTCCCTTGGTAGGAAAGGCCTCCACCCACCCTGAAAAGGTGCCTACCATAACCAGCAAATATTTATACCCATATTTTCCTGGCCTTACCTCTGTAAAATCTACCTCCCAAAATAGTCTGTGTTGCCTCCCCGTTCCCTGGTACCTGCATGGGTCCCTCTGGTTTTCCCCGGCTTCATAACCTGGCAGGCATGGCAGCTCTCAGCAATGTTCTCCGCTGCTTTTCCTTGTGATCTGAACTTGAGTTGTGCAGTGTTCAACAGTTGTAACATTGTTCTTTCACTGACATGTGTTGTCCGATGCAAGTGTTCCAAGGTGGCTCCCCAAGGCCTCGGGAACCACCAGGTGGCACTCCTTATCTCTGAACCAGCCATCTCCGTCCTGCACCGCCTGTAGTTTTCTCTAGCCCAGCTTAAGTCTGTGTCTGAATAGTCCGGTTGGGGGCGTATTTTCCTCAACCCGGGAGGCGGCAGGCTCAAGTGCAGGACACCTGTTGGAGGAGGTCCCTCCGCAGCCTGCCTTGCCTCAGCGTCCGCAGCCCGGTTGCCCCGAGCTTCCAGGGAGTTTCCCTTTTGGTGCCCTGGGGTATGCACTCCCGCTACCGCCTCTGGTAGTAGGGTGGCTTCTAACAACTGAAGTATTTTAGGCTTGTGCTTTATTTCCTTGCCCTCTGCCATGAGGAAGCCCCTTTCTTTATAAAGAGCTTCCTGAAAATGCACAGTCCCGTATGCATATTGGCTGTCGGAGTACACCGTTAGCCTCTTTTACTGGGCCCGGCGAAGGGCTTCTGTTAATGCAATTAGTTCAGCCTTCCGGGCAGATGTTCCCTGTGGAAGGCGGGTGGCCCAGACCAACTTGCCTTGTGCATCTACTATGGCTGCCTCCGCGTACCTGTGTCCGCCCAGGACGAAGCTGCTCCCATCTGTGAACCAGGTCAGTTTGCTGTTCGCAAGAGGGCGGTCTTGCAGGTCCTTCTGGTCCGTCTGGGTCTCGGCTAGGATTTCAGGGCAGCTATGTTCAGGTGTTACTGGCTCGGGGTCTGGCAGAAGCATGGCCGGGTTTAGGATGGCAGGAGTCCGGAACTCGATGTGAGGGGCGTCTAGTAAAAGTCCTTGGTAAGGAGTTAGCCTAGCATTTGTGATCCACCACCCAGGCGGTTGCTTAAGAGCTCCCTCTATAGCATGGGGGGTGGTGATCTGTAGACGTTGACCCAGAGTGAGTTTGTCAGCGTCTTTGACCAGCAGAGCAGCGGCTGCAATTATCCGCAAACATGCCGGCCACCCTGCTGCAACTGGGTCTAACTTCTTGGATAAGTAGGCCACTGGTCGCCTCCAAGGTCCCAGCTTTTGCGTGAGCACCCCCTTGGCTATCCCCTTGTCTATGAACAGATGGAACTCTTTTGTGGGATCAGGGAGTGCTAGGGCTGGGGCCTCTAACATGGCGGTTCTTAGCGCTTGGAAGGCGTCATCTATTTGCATAGTCCATTTCCATGGCTGGCCTGCCTGAAATTTTCTATCCTCTTGTCTAATCCTCTCTAGTCTCTCTTCCGGGGTCTCCCTATGATTATAGACCCTCGCAGCCACTTCCAGCAGGTCCTGCAACGTCTTCTCTCTCAACCTGTCTATTCTCTGAACCTTTCTCCTTAGATCGGGGGCTGCCTGATTTATAAAAGCCATCATGACTGCTGCCCTGCTCTCCTCTGCAGTGGGGTCCATGGGCGTGTCTTGCCTAAAAGCTTCCATAATTCTTTCTAAAAAGGCTGCCGGACTGTCTTCCTGTCACTGGCGAACATCTCCTACCTTAGCCAGATTTGTCGGCTTTCATGCAGCCGCTCGGAGACCGGCCATCAGAGCCTGGCGGTAGACCCGGAGACGCTCCCTACCTTCAGCCTCATTGTAGTCCCAGGTGGGTCGCTCGAGTGGAAACGCCCGATCTATGACTCCTGGATTGGTCATGGGTCTGCCATCGTCTCCCAGAATCAACTTCCGCGCTTCCCCTTGTATCCTCTCCCTTTCTTCCGTGGTGAAAAGGACTGTTAGTAACTGTTGGCAATCATCCCAAGTAGGCTGGTGAGTGAACAGAACAGAATCTAAAAGGTTAATTAAATCTTTAGGATTATCTGAAAAATTGGCGTTTTGAGCTTTCCAGTTATACAGACCACTAGTTGAAAACGGCCAGTATTGATAAGCCTGTTCTCCATCTGGCCGGGGAGGCGTGGCGCGTAAGGGTAGGGTTGCCATGGGCTCTGGGTCTGGAGTCCTGTTGGCTCGTTGCCGAGTCCCATACGCTGGGCCGTCAGCGGGAGGAGGTGCCCCAGCAGAGCCTGGGGCAGCTGCAGCAGCGCCCCGAGACTGCTGCTCCTGCAGGGTTATAGGGAGGGGGTGAATTCCACTCCAAGTCTAATAGGTCAGGATATAGAGTAGAATCCGGAGAACAGGGGGCAATTTAAAAGGGCCACTATCTGGGGGTCCTGCTTTTGATTCTTTTTCCTTTTTCTTTTCTCTTGCCGCCATGATTTTGCTGCTGAGTTCTGCCGGAGGCAGGATTTTCCTCAACCAGGGAGGGGGATCTTGGACCAGGTTTTGCCAGACTATGATGTATGGGATCTGATCCGGGTGGCCATGTGGCCCTTTATTAAAAATAATTTCTTTTACCTTATAGATAACGCTAAGGTCAAAGTACCATCCTGGGGCCACCCTACCCCATAGGTTGGCCACTCAGACTCACAAAAAACCCTGAATTTTCCTTTTCTGATTTCTACTGAAAGGTTTTGAGCCCAATCCCTGACCTCTTTAAAATGGTCTAGGCAGATGGACAGAGACGTCGTCTGGGTCTGTCCCATTCTGAAATTGTAAAAGTTAAAACACAAATGAAAGACAACAATGCCAGCGACAGACAAAAAGCAGGGACAAAGACACAGACACAAAACGGAGACAATAACAAAATGTTTAACAATTCCCTAATCCCTGGCCCTATGGCCAGCTTGCAGTTTCCCTACCAAACGGACCTCTAGCGGGGCCGCGGCACCAGAAACCTACTGAGGGAGTGAGAGACGTCTCCCTTCACTCCCAACCAGCGACCCACCAGCGCGTCCACCTAGGCCTTCTGCTGGTCACCTTTTAGGGCCCGAATACCTGCACCGTACGGATTTCTCAGACGTTCAACTCCTCCTCAGGTCTGGATTCTGTTCCGGGGGTTTGGGGATCCCGGACAAGCCCCCAAAAGTTACTGCTGGCTTTCCCGTGGCCCCAGGAACAGAGAGGCAGAGTCACCGAGGCTGCAAACAACAAAGGAGTTTATCGACTAGCTCGAGGTAGGGCCCACGTGCTAAGGCACCAACGCAGTGGTCGCCAAAGACAAGGACCCC